ACGTCCCTTATGTTTGGGTCCCCTTTTAGCACAACATGTACTGCAGGTCCTGCATCCTTCTTACACATCTTGCCTCATACCTATCCAGTAAAATCTCTGCCGTTGGTGACTCATTGTCTTCTTAACTCCGAGATTTCCTCCTGTTAAACTATCATGGGAATGACACAGCACAAGTTCCCGTAACGTTCTCGGTATAACTGTTTGCCAGGTCGTCACTTTCCCATCTGCAGTTTTCCATCTCCGGACAAGAATACCATCTTCAAGTTTCAACTGGTCCCATTGTGCCCAATATTTCTTTGTCACAGGGCTTAAGCTGGACACCTCCCAAGCAGGGCGTAAAACACTTGCTTGTAGAAAATCAATTATTGGCTTCAAATCTTGGTCTTTCTTCTGTTCTGTAATATCTATACTTGGTTCCACTTCACCATCATCAACTCCTTTAGTCACTTTGACTTCAACTTGATGGCACCTGGTTAGTCCAACCTCTCATTTAACACTTACAGGAATTTGACCTTTGTTGTTCCCAAACGTCATTTTATCGAAGTTAACTACACACTTCCTCGGTAGTAAATAGTTCAACCCTAATATGCATGGGTCTTCAATGTCAGCCAAGTATACTTCGTGTCTGTCCTTCATGCCCATGAGCTCATTAGTTACCCACACTGGTCCCACAACCTTGTATAATGTCCTGTCCCACCACAGAGCTTCTGTATGGCTTCTGGTACTCCTTTGTGATCTAACACCTTGATACTCACAAGGGTTTGCTAAGATGCAGAATCTATGACAAAGTTGCACTTTTGGCCATCCAACTTTCCTGTCACGTAGACATTATGTGTGCTTGACATTTTACACCTAGCTGTTGCAACTTTCACGATGGGGGTTGGTGGGTATCCCTCAACACCAACCATTACTAGTTTCCCGAAGCTGACCTATTGGTAGTATTCTTCTTACACTGGCTCCTCACATGTCCTCGCTCTCCACAGTTCCAACAACCTCTCTAGGTAGCAGCCTTTCCTGCTGTGGCATCTTCCCTGTTTTGAAGTTGCTGGCATTGTACTCTCTTGTGCCCAGGTTTGTTACAGTACCAGCAAAGTACCTCAAACTTCTCTGAAAGCTGCCCTTTTCTGGCCTCGAATCCTGATGACTGTAACAACTTTGGTACCTCTGTGCTGGACTTAACGTGGGATTCGAATTCAAGAGCTCTGGCCATTGCATCCTGCATAGTAGAAGGGTGTGCTTGCTTCGCTTGTATCTTCAGTTGTGGACTGTCCAAGGCGGCTACAAACTGATCTCTCAGCAACAGCTTGAGGACATCGGTCCTAAACCTAGCCCTGTAGATTTTGTACTGATTTTGTGTTCCATATCTGAGTTCTAGAACAGCTACCAGTGCTCTATAGTTGTGCCTGTCGTCTGCTGACAACTGTCCAAGTATTTCTAGTGGTTGTCCCTTCAGGCTCGTTGCCAGGTACACTGATTTCTGCTCCTCTGTCCATCCATTCATTTCTGCCAGGAGCTCAGATTGTGCTCTATATGCTTCCCATGGTTTCTTCCCATCGAATATCTGTGGCTTCCTTCGTACTTGATCACCCCTATTGCTGACACTTATGTCTGGAATATGACTTCTGGCAGGGCTGAGGATGTCTGCGTTAGGGTTTAGCTGCAGGGTCTGGAAGGGGCTTCCTATTGTCTGAGGCTGATTATGTCCATGGCTAATACATCCTCTTTATGTAAAATACAGTAAATCGTCCTTTAATATATTTAATTCACTTTGAAATGTACTAATCTTTTCCATTTGTACCTCATGGTGTTGTTGTACTCTCTCTCCCTGTTCTTTTTGCCACTGTTGCTGACTTTACTGCAGTTGCTGCTGACTTTCCCGCAACTGTTGGAGACTTCCTTTATGTTTTTTTTCTCATTTTTCTTGTTTTCTTTCTTGTTATAGTTGCTACTGGTGCTGGTTTTCTTGCCACTGCTGTAGTCTCTCTTCTTGTTTCTTTTCTTTTTCCTCCAACCACTACTGTAATCTCTCTTCTTGATTATTTTCTCGTTCTTCTTGTTTCTTTTCTTTTTCCTCCAACAACTGCAGTTGTCTCTTTTCTTGTTTTTTCTCGTTCTTCTTGTTTCTTTTACTGTTCTTGTATTGCTGCCATCAAATCTGCTAAGTTATAGTTTGATTTGCCACTTCTCTGTCCATCTTTTTCGTCCCGCTCTCTGACACCAATTTTTACATATCTGCTTGTTTGTTTGTTTCCAGTAGAATTTAGCGGAAAGGTACTCCAGGACTATGTTTAGCAGTGATAGACTAGGCAGCTGGCCAACAGCAGCCACCGACATATATGGGTTACTATAACCAAAGAGTGGGATTGACCATTGCATTATAACGCTCGTACGGCTGAAAGGGCAAGCATGATTGATGATGGGATTCGACCCCGCGACCCGTAGATTGCGAGCTGAGTGCCCTAACCACCAAGCCATGCCAGGACTTTCATTACAGGCACATGAAATTATGGTGTTCGTACTGTTACGTCTCTGTTTCGTCTTCCCTTTGGTCTTCCTGGGATTATACAACCACACCTTGTTTCCTGGTTCAAAGCTGACTTCAGTAGATCTCTTATCATAAGATAACTTCATGGAATCAACAAACGTTTACAAGTTTGAACACACTTGATGGTGAATATCATCCATCCTTTCCGATAACACTTTCACAAACTCTGACACATTCTCAGCCAACTCTTCATAAGGTGGGCGTCCTGTTAACAGATCCACTGGCAACCGAAGTTCCCGACCAA